GTTGAATTGTTGTTTTGTTTACTGGTGCTGGGGATTGCATGCTACCACTGTATGCATTTCCATCCCCTTTAAACATTTTATTTTCAGACAGGGTCTCGGTAAGTTGCCCACCCTGGCCTTGAACTTGTGATCCTCCTACCTCACCTTTCTGAGTAGCTGGGATTACAAATGTGTGCCATCACACCTGGCTCATTATTTTAGTTTGCAGTTCCTTAATGACACGTGATATTGAACTTCTCTTAATATACTTGTTTGCTACCTGCATATCCTTTCTGGTGAGGTGTCTCGATCTTTTGTCCATTTTAAAATCGGGTTGTTCATTTTCTTATTGTTTTAAGAGTTCTTTGTGTATTTTGGAGAAGTCTTTTTGTGAGATATGACTTTTGCAAATATTTTCCTTTAGTCTACGACTTGTCTTATTCTCTTTATATTCTGTCCTAATAAAATGGCAAAGCAAGCCCTGAAGTGATTCAGTAATTCTGTACTTTGCTGTGCAACAGAACAAAATACAATACAGTTTATGGGTAGAAACACCCTATCATCTTTTAAATAGGTACAAGTAGGTGTTTGATAAAATGGAACACCCATTAATGATAAAAGCATACAGTAAACTAGAAGTTATTTAAATTGGTAAAGGGTATGTATGAAAAACTTACAACCGATGCAGTACTTGATGATAAAATACTGAATGTTTTTCTCTGTTTGGGAAAAAGGTGCAGATGTTGATTCTTAATCACTTTGATTCAACATTGTACCATAGGTCCTAATCAATACCATCTGGCAAGAAAGAGAAGTAAACAATGTACAGATTTGGAGGAAATACAACTTTAAAATCATAGACAACAGGATTATCTTTCAGAAATGTTATGAGCCATAAAAATGTGTAAATTAGATACCATTATAGATTTGCTCTTCAAAAGACACAGGAAAATGAAGCAATCACAGATTGGGAAAAAATAGCTGTAAGACTTGTACTTGAAAAACTACTGGTATTTGTATAAAGAGCTCTTACAACTCAACAGTAATGTTTATATCATATTTTAAGAAATTGGGCAATCACTTCTCAGCTTTTTAGCTAAGTGTAAAAATTGAGCAGAAGATTTGGATAGATTCTTTACCAAAGCAGGTATTCAGGTGCCTAATAATCTAATGAAAGGATATTGTTTTATTAGACATTATTCTTTAAGAAAATACAAAATGACAAAATAATGTACTTACTTGAATGGAGAAAACAAAACAAAAAAGGCATCTGTAAATGCAATGTTTTGTGTCCAGGTACACCAGAATGGTCCTCTGCAATGGAATAAAGTACAGTGTACTTCTGGCCTATGAGACAATATGTATGAATCTCAGAAACACTGTGCTAAAAGAAAAGCCAGACTAAAAAGATGCCAATCTGTGTCATAACCATTTTCATAAAACTCTAGAAAAGGCAGAAGTGTTGTGAATGAAAGTGGTTCAGTGCTGCTGGGGACTGTAGGATGGAAAGGAGAACTGAGTGGGGTCGTGAACTGGCCCATGAAATGAGTGGGTGATTTAAATCTTCCTTTTTGTGATTGTGTTGCTAGTTGTATAACTTCATTTTAAATAAAACTTAACAAATTATTCATGTAAAATTAATGAATTTTATTGTGTGTAAACTTTGTGAGTTTGATTTTAAAAATTTATTAAGTGTTCCATTTTTTGCAGATCTCTTTAATGTAGTCTGATTCTCATATTGGCTTCTGTATTTAAACTTCACCCATGTGTTGTTTTGGGTAGTGTATATGAAAAATATCTAGCTTCACACAGATATTTAGGAAAAGGGGACGTTTCATAGATATTTCAGGAAATTGTAGATATGTTTTGATACTACACTAAAACTTGACAAGTGTTATTTTTAGAAGTTGTAATGGAATTTGAAATCATATTAATGAATCTTGTATATTTCATTACATTAAAATCCACTGTTTTGTCTTATGATAACATCAATGGATCATTTATCTTTACATGACTTTGTAACATCATCTTTTATGTTAAATAACTTAGTTCATTGAGTTCCAAATGTTTGCACATTTCATTTATCTTATATAATGTTTTAAAAAGTGTTTCTTAATATCACCACCAATCTCATCAGAAAAGTTTAAAAAAAAGTTTTAAATACTTAGAAGCTGTGAAGCTTACAATGGTATTTACAAGTTACCCAAAATTCTGATTTTCATTTAAAGTTTCTAATTTTATATTTGACAGGTAGTACTGTCACTTGTTTTCCCTTGAACTGACATAGTCCTCTAATTCAATTTTCAGAAAATGCAAAATATCGAGGCCTGAATGACCATAATTTATTGTTCTTTCCATTTAGCATGATATCCCATTCAATAAATGGCTAGTTAAGCTCACAGATCACATGTGTACCCATCATATTTTGATATACCTCAGAAGTGCTTTATTTATAAATTCTCATTTTATCACAGAGGCTTTTAGAAAGACATATATTCAAGGGTCAAAATTATTTGCTTTCCAGTACTGCAGATTGGACTTTTTTGTGGTTCTAAATGGTGAGTTAATAGCTGTGAGAACTTATTGATGTAGTTTGGGTCACTTCCTTAATGCCTGCTAAGGGACTAGAAATTTTATTCAACATTGCTATTGAACTATTTACCTGTATGACACCAGAATAAAAAAGACAGGTAACGTTTTAGTAATATTATGACCGTAAGTTCCATGTTGTCTACCCTTTGAAGAATTCTCAGGTAGTGGACCTTGAAGTCTGTTGCTTTAGAGTATAGAAGACAGCAAAAGATGAGCCTGCTAAGCAAACTGTCAAGGTGTGTCTGTAAGATAGGGGGAAAACTTGGAGATGTGGTATCAGAAAATCTAGGAAAACAGGGCATTTTAAGCAAGAAGAAATCATGAATTGTTACACATATTTCTGTGGAAAGTTATGTACCAGGCGATACAAGGGACGAATAGATTTCACAGCTAGGAGGCAACAAACGAGAATGGTGTTTCCTTTAGAATGGTTTCCTTGAGAGAAACAGAGATGTAAGAAGCACTTAGAAGTGCTTGAGAACAAAGTGAAGGCAAGGAAGTGAGACCATTAAGGTAAACACCTCTTTGGGGGAAGTTTTATTGTGTCAGGGAGAACAGCAAAATGAACTTGTAGCTGGAGGGTGGGGGAAGGATCTTATTTGTTTTTTAAAGTTTGTTGTTTTAATTGGTAGATACTTAACTCGGTGACTTTAAGAATTTTTTATTGCAAACTACAGCAAGAAATATATTTATATGATTACTCTTTACACACATATTCTTGAAACAAGTTTCACAAAACAGTATTTACTTTTTCCACTTTTAATGCACTCTGGTATAATTTATTGTTTCACTGGGAGTTTTCATGCACATAGTCGACACATAAATAAGTGGTACCTTGGTTCATGAACTTAATTCTTTCCACAATTCAGATTGCAAACTGAGAACCAAATCAAATTCAATGGTTAGGTTCAGTGTTTACCATATGGAGAAATTTGATTCAGTTCTCATCCAGTTTGGTTTGCAACCAGAATCATGGAAAGAATTAAGTTTGTGAACCCCGAGATACCACTGTATTAGAACTAGAGCTGTCTGTCCCGAATGTCTTTGCTGTACCTATCAGTGTCTATAGGAAGCAATCTTCTGTCTTCTTTGTTGTGACTTTTTAAATTTAGCACTCTTTCCCCACGTGAAAGGATAATTTTCAAAGACAAGTAGAATCATTACTTTCATGGCTATAAAATGAACACTTGCTTTTATTAGAAACTTTTAAAAAAACTCATTGTTAGAGAGGGGACTGAGAAGATATTATAGGGGAATCCAAAGAAGAGTTATATTTAGGTATGAGGAATATTGAAATGAATGTGAGAATGGGGGCAAAATTTTCTTCATCCATAGTAGGGTAAGGAATCAGTTGAACCTCCACCAGAAAGGATTTTTATATTTATAGACTTTATATATTTAAATATATTTTATACCTATATTTTCCATTACTGTCAGTGAAGGGCTAGAATCCTGGAAGAGGAGCTCTAGACCCTACATCGTTTTCACTTGAAACACAAATTTTCCCTACATCCAGGATACTCTTACAACTTAATGTTGTGCTACAAGGAAAATGGAAGAAACCAAGTGATTAAAAAGTATTTTGTTGGCTGTCATGTGAAAGCCATCTCAGAACTTTGTTTTAGCCACTTGTAGTATTGCTTCCTTCTAAGAGTTTTTGCAAGATTTATGCTATTACTTTGAGCCATGACCTACGTGTTTAAGGTTGCTAGGTTAAGGAAGCTGCAACCTCTACTGTTTGAGGTTCATGGTTCAGAATCACAAATGAAGTCCCAAAGTCCATGTTTTCACAATGACTGGACACTCTGTTCAGCATATTATTAACATACACTAATAATGGTGACCTTGAAGTTAGGGTTAATTAAATTATTTTCAGATACGTTAAAGTGACAGTAAAGATTGTTGCTATAGTATTCTTAGGTAGGAGAAATTAGTGGGCAGAGGTCTTAGAATATTAAAATATTTCTGTTGGGAAACACACAAAACGTGAGAAAAAAAGGAGACTTGGAATGAAGTTGTTAGAACCTCACTTTCCTAGAGGCTCTTACTTTTGTATCAGTTACTGTAATCCTCTGGTCTTAGTATCTGCTTGTTTCTTGGAAGTTAAAATGGTATCTTTGGAATATATTTAAAAGAGCATCTTTCTTGCTCTATCAAAAGCTTTTCCTGAGTATGGGATTTGGGAAGAAACCTAAGAGTAGCCAGCAGGAATATTCTGTTTCTATGTGTGTATTTGAGGATGGATGGATCAGGAGAAAACTTCCACGGTCCCCAGCCCTTCGAGTTCTTCTTGGCAGCTCTTCCAGTCAGTGTGGTGACCCTGAGGACGGCGTCCAGGCACAAGTGCACAGCTTTTCATCCTCTGGCTCTTGGTGTAAGTCGTTCCCTCTCACAATCCTGCCTTGCTGAGAAGGTCTTTTGAATTTCAGGTAAAAAGCATCAGAATGAGTTTCAACTTCTGGTGGATCAAGCCAAAAAAGGATACAAGAAAACTGGTGGAATGTCAAAAAACAAAGTAATGAAAGAAGAAGAATCTACGGGAAAGCTGTTATCTGTATGCATGGGTAAGAGATTAATAAAATCAGGAATATGGTTAATTTTATTTATTTTTAATATAAAAAGAAAATAAAACAAAGGTATTTACTGGAGTTATGAGGTCTTTTAAGTGGGAAAACATATTTTTGGATCTACTTCCTGTAGTGGTTATCTAGGTTTATTACTGTAGGGAAAATGATTCAAAGAATGCCCTGAAGAAACAATCTCTAAAGTCTGTCTTCCTTTCAGTTAATGAAAAATCTTAAATTCCTTAGTTGTTTTAACCTTGAGGATATTTTCTAGGTATAGGATTTATTGCTGGATATCCTAAGATATACTACAAATAATATAAATTATTGTTACAGAACAGTGGTAAAATGTTGACTCTGAATGTTTACTTTACTTTGGGTAAAATATTCTGCTAAAGTCCAGAGCTAATGAACTTGGAATGCTGTGCATGCAGCATATAACTTAATTAGGATCTGTTTTTAAATTTGAGATATTATATATCTTTTGTTAAGGCTTTGGGCTGGTGAACAACACAGACTCATAATGGGAAAGGTGCACCAGAAATGTCTTTATTATTTTTTCTTTACGTGGTAAAACATACACAATATTGTATCTTTTTCACCATTCACACATGTATGATTCTTTCACATTAAATATCTTCATAGTATTGTATAACCATCTCCACTCTGATTACCCAAAACCTTTTCATTATCCCCAACACAGACTCTGTGCTCACGACATGGTCACTTTCCTTCTGTCCCTTACAGCCCTTATGGTCTCTGTTTTATTTTCTGTACCTATGAATTTGCCTGTTTTTGGTGCCTCAATATAAATGGAACTGTACCATATTTACTCTTCTGTGTTGGCTCATTTCTCTAAGCATAATGTTTTTAGTGCCCATCAATGTTGTAGCACGTATTAAAATTTCATGGTTTGGTTTGGTTTGGTTTTTGCTGTGCTGAACAGAGCCCAGGACCTCTTACATGCTAAGCAAGCTCTGTATCACTGAACTACATCCCCAGCCCTGTTGTTCCTTGTTATGGTTGAATAATATTCCATAGTATGTATATACCACATTCTGTTTATCCACTTATCTGTTATGGGTTATTTCAGCCTTTTGGTTATTGAAAACTATGTTGCTGTAAGCGCTGGTTTTCCGGTATCTGTTCAAGTCCCTGCTTGCAGTTCTTTTGAAGTGGAATTTCTAGCTCATATGGTGGTTCCATGTTGAACCCTTTCACAAACCACTCAACTGTTTTCCTCAGCTTCATTGTTTTGCATTCCCACCAGCAATGCATGAATATTCCATCTTTTCCATATTCTTGTCAGTGTTTCTTATTTTCTGTTTTAAAATTGTTGTTATTGTTGAGGTCATCTTAGGTGTGAAATGGTATGTTATCATGGTTTTGATTTGTGTTCTTATTGGCTATTTGTTTTTCTTCTTTGGAGTATATTCAGGTCCTTTGACTATTTTTAATCAGGTGTTTTGTGATCATTGTTAAGTTTAGGAGTTCTGAATATTAATCCCTTATCTTACATATTATTCATAAGTACTTGTAAACATCATCTATGTGGTCTTTTTTGCTTTCTTTTTTTTTTCCATTGGTTTATGCAACTTTATTGAAGAAAGATAAATCAGTTACTAGCAGAGCTGTTAGTTGATCACTGATCCATTGATAACTTGCATCATTTACTCAGTGCTATATTAAACAGTGTATTGGAAGATAGATTAACTAATAGCTTCAAGCCTCCTAACAGTTTAAATGAAAATTACAAAATATTTTGAGACCCTACTTTAGAATACAAAGGGTGTTTGAGTTCCAATTTCCATTCTCTGTAGAACAAAAAGAAGTCATTCCTTTATTTACCTGCATAAAATACATCACATTTTCTATTCTGCCGATGCTATAAATTCAATATCAATTCTCCAGCTACATCAGTTATGAGCATAAAGTATATCACGTAACCTCAAATCTCTAACAGTGGAAGACTTAACAAGAATGGATGCTGCTAGAATTATGCTGCTTTCTTGCCATGACAACCAAACATCCATCTCCCTCACCTCAGCTGGCTTCTTCAGCAGTTAGAGCTGTGAGGAATGGTTTAGTCTTATAACCAAGTTAGAGTGAAGACATTGGTCACATAACACACATGCTCCATTTAAAAAAAAATTATCAATCTTAGGCCACTGTTCTCTTGTAACTACTTTACAGTTTCTAAAAACAGTTATTGTCCAAAGCTAGAAGAGCTTAAGTCTTCTCAGATGAGCATGTGAATGAATGGAGGGAGGTAAACAAAAATTAAAATTTAAAAAGATGAGGATTTATAGGGGAGCAGCTGGATAAGAAAATCAAAAAAGGAACAATAATTTAAAGTTTATTCCAGCTATAATGCAGATTATTCTGATTTTAAGGTAGTATCACATGGCATACTTTTGAGTCCATTCTCGAGATATTCTGTTGTACTTGTCTCTGTTTTATAGAACCGTGCAATCTCTGGCACTCGGGGGTCATCTGGGTTTGGATCACATAGTAGTGAACAAATGGATAAAAGAACTTTAGAAATAGTTAAAGCAGGAGACCACTGTGATCTTAGGATATCTAGACAAATGCTGCCATTACTGTTACTATTTAGATGATAAATCCTTATTGTAAATGCAGCCTTAGGTGGTTTGAAGGGGTAGTCTGTAGGAAAATGAATTGTCAAAAAGAATACACCACCTTTATATGGGCTGTCCCATAATTGTGGCTTGCCAATGGAACATGTCATCCCCAACTGGGCTTGCAGAACATTGTGCTGGAGGGTCATGGGCCAAATCACTAAGTTCCTTATTAATCCGCTTCAGCGCCATGGTCCATGCTGTCCTGGCCCTCACTGTCCGTGTGTTTTCGGTCCCGCCCGTCTGGTTGGTCCTCGGCTCCCAGTGGCTCAGACAGGGCCCTCTTCACTGGCCCTCCTCCTCATCGCGGTTGGGCCCATGCACCACCGCCTCCAGCTCGGAATAGCACCTTGACTACACCGACTGGAGGTCGCGCCGGCAGCCTTTTTTGCTTTCTTGATAGTGTCATTTCCATGTAAAATGTGCTTTCACAAAGGTGCTGAATTTTGATGAACACCTTTGCTTTTGGTGTTATATCCCCAAAGTCATTGCCAAATTTAATATCATACATAATTTTCTGCTAAGTTTTCTTGCAAAAATTTTATAGTTCTAACCCTTACATTTAGGTCCTGGATCCATTCTGAGTTAATTTTTATATGTGTTATAATGTAAGGGTCCCATTTGATTCTTTTTTTTTATTTTATGAAAAAATAATACAAAAATTCTAAGAAAATAATAATAGTTAATACATTGTATATCATTATTTTCAAAATAGTTACTCAGAGTACAGCTAACTTGATTCTTTTTTTTTTTTTTTTTTTTTTGTTTTTGTTTTTTCATTTTTTTGAGATAGTGTCTCACTACGTAGCTCAAGCTGTCCTTGAACTCTTTTTTTTGGTTCTGGGGATTGAACTTGGGTCCTTGTGCTTATGGGGCAGGCAGTGGAACCACTGAGCTAAATCCCCGTCCCCTAACTTGATTCTTTTGCAAGTAGATACCTAGTTTTTCTCAGCATCATTTATCGGAGTCTTCTTTCTCCATTGAATGATCTTGGTGGGTCCTGCCAAAAATCATCCAACCTTGTGAAGGTTTGTTTATTCTATGTTCCATTAGCCTGTAAATCTGTCCTCTTGTTTATACCATGCTGTTGTAATTACTCTAGCTTGGTACTAAATTTCAAAGTTGAAAAGTTTGAATTCTTCAGCTTTACACTTCCTTTTCAATATTTTTTGGTTACTTGGGCCCTCTTGAGATTCTGTATGAATTTTAGGATAGACTTTTCTTTTTCTACAAAAAGCATTAAGATTTTGATACTGGATTATGTCAAATCTGTAGGTTACTTTTGGCAGGCCTCTTTTGAGGAGTCTCATTATGTAGTCAAGGCTGATCCCAAACTTGCTATGTAGTCCAGGCTAGCCTCAAACTTGAAATCCTCCTGCATCAACCTCATGAGTGCTGCAGTCAGAGCCATGCACCACATCCCCAGCTTGAGTAGACACCTTAACAGTATGAACTCTTGTAAATCATGAATGTGGGATGTCTTTCCATTTAATTGTCTTTAATTTCTCATAGCAGTTTTTTTTTTGTTAAATTCTTTTATTGGTACATTTTAGCTAAACAACACAATTACATATCTCATTGGGAACTTGTACCTTTACATGATACATCTTGGTTCTTATTTTTTCCCCATTCCTAGCCCTCTCTTCACCC